CCCAAATACAGTTCTTTCCTTGAAAACAAACCACCACGCTCTCTAGTTGTGCTTGGAAAAACAAACACTGCCTGCTAGAAAGTCTAAACAATCATCAGAAATAACAGTTTGAAGAGAATAATGTCCTAAACTTGGATTGGCTATTTTTATTGTCCTTTTTATTACAAACATAAAGTTCTCCTACATGCACAAGTATATACTCGAGAACTGATACTTGACAAATCTTACCTTTGAGCTCTGTGCAAATGGTTAAGGGTGTGGCATGTAAAATTACATGTATAAGTACATCTTGAAATGTTTGTGGTGGTCTCATTTTTGCAGTTCACGCAGTGACCTCTTACTGCAAAATCATGACAGAAATATGCAAACATGGATGATGCCAATATGTGTTCTGTACATGTACTTTTACTATAGTACAGAATTGTTTCAACTGCAAAATTCAAAGTCATGTACCGGGAAAACATCCTTTTTCCCTCCTACATATGCATGTACCCTGAAACCACTGTGCACAAATTGAATTCATTTACAGTTCTCATAATAACAAAAGCAACTTTCCCCTCCGGTAGAACTGGCAGTGGGAGGTGGGAGCTGTAGCCATCTTCCTGGCGTGGATGGACCTCATCCTCTTCATCCGCAAGTTCCCGCGGTTTGGTATCTACGTGGTGATGTTCACGGACATCCTCACCACCTTCCTGAAGTTCGCCGTGGTTCTCTTACTCTTCGTGGTGGCGTTTGGGCTGTGCTTCTATGCACTGATCTCCAATCAGGTGAAGATACTTTTTTGTACATGTACACTTCAATTTAACCTTAGGCCACACCAGGTTAATTTGTTGTTTCTCGGATTTGCCCTGTCCATTTTTTTCTGACTTGCAAAAAAAAACAGCCTGGTATGTTGACTTATCGTAACATTTCTGGCTATCACAGGGTGCCTTGGCCTGTTTTTTTTTTTATTTCACCCTGTTGCTTCATATTTTTTCTGAAAAAATCCGAGAACCAACAAATTAAATTGGAGTGGCCTTAGCAATGCTTAAGTGGAACTTGAGATGGCAAATGTTGGGAATGTGGTGTATCATTCTGCAAGTTTTTTTTTCATGAAATTTTTCAGAAAAATAATACATGTATTAAACAGTCATGGAAATTTGTATGTCAAACTGAAAATATCTTGTACTGTAACTCGCTTTATGTTTGCGGCAGTAAAAGTTCACAGTCTGAGAAAAATGGACTTGTTTGCAGAACTGTATGTTCACGGTGGCGTCAGATGCTGAAAAAAGAAAGTCGGCAAATTATTTGTTCACGGTACAGAAGTGAACATGAAAACCGCAAACATAAATTAAAGTACAATGAAAAAAATCTTAGATCACAGTATTTTAATCTCTTTTCTTCCCACACATCGCCACAGTTTTCATTCCGAACCGTGGAAGTCTCCCTTGTGAAGATTTTAGTCATGATGATCGGAGAGTTTGACTTCGACTCAATCTTCCACACCTTCGAAGACAAAGGAGATGCAGCCGAGTACGCAGACCAACTGTTCTACGGTCCCGTCACCTACATCATCTTTGTGGTGTTTGTCATCATTGGTTCAATCATCATCATGAATCTCTTGGTAAGTCTGTCTGTCTGTAAAATTTAGTTTTAAGTTGATCTTCAAGAGCTTCCTGTTATCCCAACATTGGCTGTTAACTGAAAATCATTCGGATTCTTCTTGTAAGTCTTATGTTAACATCTTTTCCATGTCACAAACAATTTTTTCAAAGGTTTCCTTTAGTACCTTTAAGCTTAATAAGCTTTTAAGCTTAATAAGTTTTAAGCTTAATACAATGTAAGTTCCTTCCTGCACCAGTGGTGCATACATGTATGTTGGCGGCTTGGCGCCCATCTCCATTTCTGTAGCCCTTGGTCCACAAAGTTGTGCAGACTCAGTCTCTACAGCAGGGCGCTAGTCTGCTGGTAGTGGTGTGTGTTTAACTCCCATACTCTTTCTCAAATGCTAAGCAGAGAAAGCAGTAAGTACCATTTTTAAAGTCTATGACTTGGTCAGTCATCAAACTTACGACCTACCAAATGCAAGGTGAATACTCTTGGCCATTGCAACAGTCATACCTCAGTACCCTTGGAATGAGTTAATAAAAAAAGGGAAGTCAGTATCATAAGCTGGAGGAAGAAACTTTGAGAAGTAAAATGTTGACTTTTTCTCCGTACAGGTTGGTCTGGCTGTAGATGACATCAAAGGGGTACAGGAGGAGGCAGTGTTGGAAAGACTGGCCATGCAGGTCTGTGGAGAAACCTAAGTTTATTTGTTTGTTTGATCCATTCATGAAAGCTCAAATCGGCATGCAAGCCACTTTTTATCAAGATCATGAGGGAAGAGGTTAGGGTCAGAAAATCAACAACTTGAAGATAAAGTTTACATCATTCAAAGTCCTACAAAAACATTATACATTTTTTTAGTAATACATGGTATGAAATACACATTACACAGGAGTGAGATCTGGTTCTTACCCATTTGTTTCAGTCATTCCTCATTTCTAACAGTTACTTTAGGAGTCTTTTGTTTTGTAACAGTTGTGTATTTGTTAGTAATTTTCACATCAACAAATTAAAATCAACTACATGATCTTTTTAATCTTTTTTTGGCTTAGGGTTAATATTAATTCACAAGTTGATAAATTTTCTGTATCTGTATCTGTATCTGTATAGCCGGTATAACCGCCTTTCGGCGTAACACACCAGCTTCGCAGGCACGCGGCGCGGCGGCAGCTGGCTATATTACACCGATCGACTTGTTACACCTAACCCTTGAACTTCTAGCTCTAGACATTGTTTAAAGCTATCTATTGACAGTGCCCCTACTGTACTTGGTGACAGTGAGTTCCACTCTGCGATAGTTCTAGGAAAGAATGAATTCTTGAACACCTCAACCCTTGGTTGATAACTCTGGTACTTGAATGCGTGGCTATTTCTTGTTCTCTTCTGGGCTGGTATTAGGTATTTAGTAGTTGGGACATCCACCAGTTAATTAGTCATTTTGTACATCATGCATAGTCTAGACATCTTTCTTCTGTCTTTAAGTGAGGTCCACTGTAGGTTTCTTTTCATTTCCGTGACACTAGCACCTCTTACATAGTTGTTCATACAGAATCTTGCAGCTTGATTCTGTACCCTTTCCAATTTGTCTTTGTCTTTCTTTGTATATGGATCCCATACTGTCGCAGCGTATTCTAGGTTCGGTCTTACAAGTGACGTGTATGCAAGTGATTTTACTCTAGTTGGACATGCCCACAGATTACGTTTAATCACTCCCAATGTCTGTTTCGCCTTAGTTGTGATATTATTAACATGTGCACCCCACTTCAGTCCGCTTGTCAGCGTGACGCCCAGATACGGATGGATTTTGTGGTTGCTAAAGCCTGACCACAAAACTGGTAGCTAGTTGCATGTGGTGTTCGTTTGTTTGTTATGTGCATAATGTAGCATTTTTCGGGATTAAACTGCATGAGCCATTTGCTTTGCCATTCTTCCAGGGTGTTCAGGTCTTTTTGGAGAAGTTGTGAGTCGGTCTGTGTAGAAAGCTCTACATACAATAGACAGTCATCGGCAAATAACCTCACATTTGAGTCAAGCTGATCTGGTAGGTCATTTATATACAAGAGAAAGAGCAATGGCCCCAGGACGGTTCCTTGAGGGACCCCAGACGCTACTTTAACTGGAGCCGACGCCTTCCCTTCAACCACTACTGTTTGCTCCCTGTTGGTCAGGAAAGCCTTTAACCAATTCAGCGTAGGGCCTTAGATTCCATAATACTCCAGTTTTGAGATGAGCCTGCCATGGGGGACTTTATCAAAGGCTTTAGTGAAATCAAGTATTGCTAAATCTACCTGCCGTTTACTGTTTAGTGCGCCAGCTATGTCATGGACTGTTAGTATAAGCTGTGTTTCTGTGGATCGTTTGGCTCTGAATCCATGCTGGTAATCCGTTAATATACTGTAACTTTCTAGGTGCTTCATGATTTGGCTATGGATGATATGTTCAAGTAGTTTGCAGGATATGCAGGTCAGTGAAACAGGTCTGTAGTTGCTGGGGACCGCTCTATCTCCTTTTTTAAAGATGGCGCATATATTTGCATCCCTCCAATCTTTAGGGATTTCTGCAGTGTTTAGCGAGTGTTGGAAAATATTGGTTAGAACAGGCGCGATTTCACTAGCTGTCAACTTGAGGAACCACGGTGGTATTTGGTCTGGTCCGGATGCTTTAGAGGGATTGAGACCTTGAAGCATTTTTTCGACACCATCAGTAGAAACTACTATATGTTCCATTGGAGGAGTACAATTTTAAATGCTGGTTGCCAAAATTTCCAACCATACATTTGTAAGTTAATTAATTGTAGTAAGTTTGACTTTAGGAAAAAAATGTGACCAAAACATTCACATTCCCCAGATATCCTTCATGTCCTTAAAGAGTATCGGTTGAATCATGAAGAAAAATAATGTAATGTAAAACAATACAACACCATAACTTCTTACCCAGGTGGACTTAACCTTGGACGTGGAACAGAACCTTCCGGAGTTTATCCGTAAGAGGTTTGTGAGAAAGTTGGAGACGATGAAGCCTAACGCCATCCACACCAGCGCCCTGAAGGCCTGGCTGTTCTCTGACAGTGCCACGTCTGCACAAGCCATCGCAAAGGCACTCAACCCAGAGAAGGTACATTTACAGGCATAGATTGACTAGAGTTATCATTATGATAGCAGTTCATCTGTGTTGGTAGTAAGGCCACACCAATCTAATTTTTTGGTTAACAGATTCACCCACTTCATTTTTTTCTGATTTGCAAAAAAAAAAATTGAGAATCAACTGCAAAATACTCATATTTTGCCCTGAACAGTTGAAAACAGTCCTTTTCTTCCTAGTTGTTACAGTTATTCCATCTTTCAATGCAGTGGTATCATGAAAAGTTCAAAATTCATTGTTTAAATTTTGAACCAGCCTGGTGTGTTGACTTCATGGCTCCTATCGTACCATTTTGGGCCATAATAGGATGCATGCCTAGGCCTGTTTTTATTTTTTTTCGCCCGCCCGCTCCATTATTTTTCTAGAAAAATCTGTTAACCAAGAAATTAAATTGGTGTTGCCTAATCATATGTTATATGTATCATGTGTACTATGTGACTGTACATTGTAAACCCTGCTTCAATTAGCGCTATAAAAAAAGGCTGCAATTATACGGGTAATGTTTGACCAATATACCATTTATTGATCAGAAGTAACGTTCTTGTTTCTGTTTTCAGACTGAGATAGAGAAACTTCAGGAGCAGCAGGAGGATCTGATGGAGGTTGTGAACGAGCTGCGCTACCGCGTCAAGAACATGAAGTACCAGAATGACCGGCTAGAGGAGCTACTGGTCGCACTGGTGGACCAGGCAGGGCTCCAGGTGGACGAGGAAGACAAGGTGAAATAAACAAACAAACAAACAGGACTGGTCAGGCATGGGTTTTAAGGTGCTGTGGTGTTCAACACAGGAAGACAACAACTACAGCTTGGGTGTATTATAGATAGAAATTTTGTAAGCACACAGAAACAATTTAAATTTTGGTTTTTGGATGTTTTTAGAAAAGGATTATTCCTTTCAAAAGATATGAAGAGACAGGGCGAAGAAAAAACAGGCCGCAAAAGCTTAGGTGGTGTGGTGCTCAACACAGGAAGACAACAACTACAGCTTTGGTGTATTCTAGTCATTGTCATTAAACTTTTGTAAGGCCACAGAAACAATTTAATTTGTTGGTTTTGAGATATTTTCAGAAAAAAATATATCGTGAGAGGGCATAGAAAAAACGGGCCCCAAAAGCTATGTTAGGAGCCATGAAGTCAACATATACCAGCATGGTTTGTAATTCAAACAGTAAATTTTGAACTTTTAATCAAAACCACTGCATTGACAGATGGAAAAATTGCAACAACTAGTAGGAAGACAAGGACTTAAACATGTATTTCCAAAATAGCATCTTGGAGCTGATTCAGAACCTGAATATCTATGGGTTCTTTGGAAAGCAGAAAAAAATGCAGCGGCAAATCCGAGAACCAATTGACATGTGTGGCCTAAAAGAACATTTTATTTTGAGATGGCAAAACTGAAACGTTTGGTGCTAAACCTGATGAAGTTGTATCAGTCTTCAAACTCAAACTGTACCTGAAACGCACATGCAGTTGTTGTCTTACAAGCACTTTATTAAGGTTTACTACCGGAAAAGCATCTAATACGTATATTTAAACAGTAAAACCTATCCAGATTCCTGCAAGCAAGCTAAAATGGGTGAGCTGTAAAAAAAAGTGTGACTAATATAAACCAATAAATTATACTAAGGTGGTGAAGGTTCAGGTTTTCACTAACTGTGATTTTACGTCAAATTATTTTGATGACTTTTACACCTCAAACAGATTGAATTTGAAGTGAACTGGAGAAGACACCAGAGATTCAACCCTCTGACAAGCGTGTTCCATGCTAATATGTTCAGGTCTGGCAGCTTGAAGTAGTTGTATTTGGTGATGACCTTATGCATGGGAGTGTTAAGGCGTTTCCATGCATGAAAAATTGTTAAAATTGTGTAATCTTAAGCTATAGCATGCCAGATATATGTATGGGTGAATAGTCAGAGAAGAGGAAAATCATTGCAGGGCTCGAAATACTGGGTGCATGTGCACCTTAATGCACCCAAATTTGGAACTGCGCACCCAATTTGTTTCTGTGGGTGCACCCAAATATTTTCGTAGGTTTATGTATGTAAAGATGTTAAATGTGTAGTAGTATACAGCTCTATAAAGGGTCAAAAAATGATAAAATCATTGCTATAGTACATTTATTCACAAATGAAACATAATTAGTTTTTGCTGACATTCTATACTGGTGCACCCAATTTTCTGGGTGCACCAGTGCACCTATTACCCAAAATGAATTTCGAGCCCTGCATTGCAAAGGCTGATGGCAGTTACTGACATATAGAAAGAGTGTTTTTACTCCATCTTGCTTGTGCTTATGCCATTATTATGGAAGTGGCTTATATGGTAGGAGGGGTGAGAGCAGTAAAAGTGTTATACATGGTTATAGCCTTTAGTAGTGTTCTGGAAATGGCATCGATATTTGAATACTTTCTGTGTGTGTCTGTAAGTTCTAACCTAACAGAATTTTGTTCTTGCAAGAATTATGTGCAATCATGAAGTGCAATAATTACATGTATGGTGAATTGCAGTTTGCCAGCTGAGGCTAAAATTCGCCAACTCTGCACTACTAATCCTGTTCCTTACTACCTACACTACAGTGCTCAGCCCTTTTCCATCAATCCCTTTCCCCCTTCTTTTTTCACTTTTTTTTTCACTCTTTGCTAGTCTTCATCATAATCATCTGGTAAACTAATATCATACATCCCATATGTTGTGTTGAACACACCCTTTTTTGTTTGCATGAACTAAGCGTTTTGTTTTGTCTTGTTTTGTTTTACCCACACCTCGCAGATCGAAAAGGACGGCGCACAACAACGTGTAACCAAGTCACGGCCTGGCATGGCAAGGACAAAAGAATAGTGATGCATCACATTTGAGACGTTTCAGCAGCATGCTTGATATATAACATCACTGCATAAAATGGCTGTTTTTTTAACCTTTTTAATATGCTAGTGGTGAAGCATGTGGTGAAATACCTCTACAAATACAGAAGAGTTTGGTGCAGTCAAACTCCAAAGTTCCAGCATGACCGGACTGCTTTTTCCGCCAATCGGACTGGACTGCTTTTTCCACAAACCCCATTCATTGCATATGCATGTACAAAGCAATCTAATCCTGTAGTGGTATACATGTATTTGTAACAAGCAAAATACATGTATAAGCATAAATTTTGTATGTAGATGTAAATTCCTGACACCCCCCGTCCACTAACTTTAGACTGCAAGCATTCTTGTACAAATAAATGGTTTTGAAAAGTATGAAAGATTAATAAGAAAATGGATGCCAAAGAACACATCAAGATAGTCATCTTTAAACTAATTTATGTGTGACAATACATTTTAGATGGTAAGTTAGATGTGTGGTAATCTGAATGTCATTTCTTGTGCAACACAAGGTCAAGAGTTAGTTCTGTAACTAGCTTCCAAACCTTTCACAACACATGAAACTGATAATAAGCTTTAGACAACACTTTTATCCAATGGTATTTTAAAGTATTTGCGCTCTGTCTTTAGAGGAATAAGTAATTGATAAGGCAATTGATGCTAAAGATTTTAAGTACATTTTCTAGTGTGTGTAACTGTAAAAATTTTAAAATATGCTAAAATGCAGTTTCTTGAAATTCTTGTCTCATGGACCAGATTTTTTTTCTTGAGTGAAGAATAATTTTCTCAGTGGAAGGAAATTTTTCTTCTGTGAAGAAAGACAAGATTGCCATTTTTGGTAGTGATAAGAGGCTTAGAGTTAAATGTTTTATCTTTGTGACAAAGATATATCTTGTTACATGGTGTGTTGATAGCCACTCTTCTGAGTATGGCGAGTCTCCAAGTGTTTACAGTCCTTTCGATACATGGTGTACATGGTAAACACAGGTTAGAATGTAACCTAGACCAGAACTGGAACTCGGATATATTCTGGCCAATTTGGCTTCAACAGCTTCTAAGGCCACACCAATTTAATTTGTTGGTTCTCGGATTCGCCTCTTGGTTTTTTTCTGATTTGCAAAAAAAAAAGAATTTGATTCTGGTCCTGAATCAACTGAAAAATGCTCATGTTTTGCCCCCAACAGTTGAGGAAAGTCCTTTTCTTCCTAGTTGTTACAGTTTTCCCATCTATCATTGCAGTGGTTTGATTAAGAGTTCAAAATTCAATGTTTAAATTTTAACCCAGCCTTTTGTGTTGACTTCATGGCTCATTTTGTAGCATTTAAGCCTATAATAGGATGCCTAGACCTGTTTTTATTTTTATTTTTTTCGCCCTGTCGCTTCATATTTTTTCTGAAAAAATCCGAGAACCAACAAATTAAATTGGTGTGGCCTTAAGACCACATTTTCTTCACTCAGCAGTTAATATCATTTCTTTGTTGTTAATTTTCCATCTTGTTTTTAGACCTTGATATGCAAATTCAGTTCATTAATGACATTATCATTTATATCACTTGTCATATTTATTTAGTTTGTTTTCTGTACTTAATTAGTCTGTGTGTTTCTTTTATCATTACCTTTTGATTGTACTTAAGTTGCCTTTTATCATGTTATGTACGTCACAGGGATCTTTGAAAAGCGCCCAAATGGCGATATGCTAACCTGTATAAACAAATAAATAGAAATAAAAAAAAATTCACACCACTTATTTCTGACAGGATAAGCTATCTGTCACCTAAAAGTCAAGACCATAGCTTGTTCAGGACAAAAGATACAAAAACCG